AATTAAAGTAGATTTAAGAGAGTGAAAGGAGAAATGGGAGACAGAAGTACAGATAAATATTTCTAGGAATTTTGCTGTATAAGGGAGCAGTGAAATAACATTAACAGCTACAGAGAAGAGTGACTTCAAAACCTATATTTTAGGTTGTTTTGCTGTTTAAGATAAGAAAAATAATGACACATTAGTATGCTGATGGGAATTTCCCAGTAGAATCAGTAGACCCAGGAGGTTAACTGAATAGGAGAGGAGATGAAATCTGGTACACATGGGGCAGCTGGCCTTTGAGAGGAGTGTGGACAGTTCATCTGGTAACAACAGGAAAGGCGGACTATGCGAGTACAGATTCTGGGAGGAGGATATTGCAGGAATCTGTGGACGTTCTCTTCTGATTGCTTCAGTTTTCTCGGTGAAAAACGAAGCAAAGTCGTCAGCTGAGAATGAGGAGGTGTTGGGGGTTTGAGGAGAGAGAAGATATGAAACAGTCATTAAGGAAAGCAAGGAGTGAATGGACTAAGGATATGATTGCTGAGCAATGTTAGGTTTACCTGAGGTTCACGGGAATGAATTTAAACTATGGCAAGAGTCTTTCCTCAAAACAGCAACTGTTCATTCAACATCAATAACGTTACTCAGTGAGGTGAACTGTTAAAAGGAGAATTTAACATCTAAATTTCTATAAAGACTTCCCAAAATAGAAGCTCTACTTAATGCCATATGACAAGCACCTTAATAAAAATCAGTTTTTCAAAAGTAAGCCAAATGAAGACTCACACAGAAAGTAATTCTGGAAGATAAGCTCCAGAGAGAGGAAAGTAATATAGTTATCGAGTCCAAAAGCCTGACTCACTCAATGGAGTCCACCGGGGGCTACCTTCTCTCTGGCCCCCAATGTCCCCTGACTGGTACCCTAAACAAACTACAAGGTAATCTTCATCTACACCTCATCTCCTCATACTTGCTTTGTAAAGATTCAAAAACACAAATGGATTATAGTTTGCATTGCCATAAAGCTTAAAGGAGTGGTCAGTCTACTTCACTGGTTGGGGTGGAAGGCTCCAGGACAAGATTTTCATACCTTCCAAGCTGTAAAAATAAGGAATGTCTATTTTTCTACCTGTAACCCTGGGATTCCTCTCCTCTTTCACAGATCACCAAAGCAACACTAAATATCTTCAAATTTACAAAAAATACTAAACCTAAGCCTCTGATGATTATTACAATTAAAATTAATCCTCCTCCTAATCACTCCCAGAAATTCTTAGAATTGCACTCTGATTACATTTAAGTTTATGATAAAAGGTGAACATACCATAGCCCTCTTCACTCAACTTCTATAAATCAAAATACTCACAAAATGTTACTTAAAAATCTCCACTATTTAAAATTAGTCTCATAGTAAAAAGTAAATATTTTGCTATTTCTGTCATTACCTTTTAAAGTCTGTGTTAAAAAAAAAAAAAAAAAAATCAGTCAAATCCATTGTTCCACAAGTAACAGTCCAAAGGCAATGAAAATATATAGCTAAGAAAACCCACTGCCATCAAGTAGAATCCAACTCATAGGAACCCTTACAGGACAGAGCAGAACTGCCCTGTAGGGTTTCCAAGGAGTAGCTCGTGGATTCGAACTGCTGACCTTTTGGTTAGCAGCTGAGCTCTTAACCACTACACCACAGGGCTCCATAAGAATCTAGTCAAAATATCCTTTCAGTACCTTTTAGACTTCAGTGGAAGGAAGGAAGAAAGGAAGGAAGGAAGGAAGGAAGAGAGAGAGGGAGGGAAGGAGGAAGAAAAAATTTCTTCCCTAAGTTCGAGAGAAAGACAGCAAAGCAAAAAAAAAATTAATAAAGATACATAAATCTAACCCTCTAAAGCTTTTAAAATAAAAAAAGGAACACATAGTGTACTAAAAATAAGACCACATATTACGCATCATGGGGTTAGAGTATTCATCTTGGAACAAGAAAAAGAAAGGCTATGCCAAGAATATACATCACTCATCATTATAACAGGGAATTGGTATTTGACACTTGGAAAGCTGACTTCCTTAGTTGTCTGTTTATGTCCAGACTTATATTAGCATTACAAAAGTGAAAGAAGTCACTGGGCTAACCATACGTTGCCATATCACCCCCATTATTCAGGCCAATGGTGTGGAACAAAACAAAAGGAGGATGTCAACCCTGAGCAGAGGCCGTCCTTTCCCAGTCTTTTAAAATAATGCTACTGATAGCAGTAACATTTTTCAAAGACTTAATAAGCAGTAACACCTATAAGCTCTTGTCAGGTAATCTTTCTTTCACTGTCTCACACCACGAGTCTGAATGTAGAAGAGGAGGAAAAAAAAAAAAAATCATTCTCCCTTCCTCCACAAGCCACAAGGCAGCTAGAACCTGGGATGACACTTGCCTATTTCCAACAGGGAAAGAAGTCCACCCACACACGAGCAGCAGCAGGAAGCATAAACGAAAGGAACAGTGTGAAAAGAAATGCAGAACGACTCATATAATTCTGAAATTTATACTGTGTGGCAACCTAGCGTCTCATAGGAAAACAATTACTTTCATTCTTGCCTCCTACCGCCGCTCCGACCTTTCCTGGTTGGTGAGTCAGTATGAGGCAAATATGAAAGTGCTTATTTTTTTCCTTTGAAGCACAAGACTGTTCAAAACTGTGAATTTCAAAATCATAACACGAACTACCTAATTTTTAGAGGTGTTTCTTTTACTGCCTTCACTGGTGACAATGAAATACGAAACAAGAGTGCGTGCGTGCGTGCGTGTGTGTGTGTGTGTGTGTGTGTGTTGTATAACAGTGGCATTAAGCTATGTCTGTATATGATAGAAAGAAGTTATTTATTATAATCTTGATAATCTAATTTATGACCATAACACAAAACATAAGTGGTAGGTTTAAAAAACAAAAAACTACCATCTTGAAATTAAAATACTGTCCTTACTTTAAGCTAAAAGATCTTTTTACTCAATACACAGAAATCAGCAGGTATGAGGAAGAAAGGCAATTTAACACTGTAATTAGGTTTAAATTAGGAGTAATTAAATTTAACTTAAATTAGGGCTAATGTAAGGAGTTGCAGGTTGGTTTCAATTACGTGTCCTTACTGAGCCTCGGCTACATTTGAGAAACTGAAGCACCACAGGCATACCAAAGTAAGTATGACACAGTCCTTTCCCTCAAGGAGATTTTAACCTAACAGGAAAGATAAGGAAAATGTCCATATAAAAATGATACAAAAGTGTCAGAAATACAAGAAATAAGATACAAAGAATGTACCATCCAGTTTCCAAGGAAAGGGAAGATCAGTCATTTTTAGATGGTCTTTAAGGGTGGACAGGATTTCAAAAATTGGAGAGAAAGATGGAGCAGGCAAAATAAGAGAAGTCACAGAAGCAGAAAACAGCATTTTTTGGGCAGTATTTTTCTGAACTATGCTTCTGAGAGAAGTCAATACAAAAAACCAAGAGCCAAACCCATTGCAGCCAAGTCAATTCTGACTCATAGCAACCCTATAAGACATAGTAGAACTGCCACACAGGGTTTCTAAGGCTGTAAATCATTACGGAAGCAGACTCCCACATCTTTCTCCCAGAATGGCTGATGGGTTTGAACCACCAACCTTTTGGTTAGGAGCCAAGTGCTTTAACCACTGTGCCACCAGGGCTCCTGAGAAGTCAACAGATGCTCTACAAAAAAAAAAGGGGTTCCATAATCAAATAAGTTTGGAAAACACTACATGCTATATTGCCCTCTTTGAAATTCACAGTGCACATCAGTACAGGAAAGGCTCTGAAGGAGTACTACAGTAAAGTCACTGTCACCCCATGTCTCCCAAGCCTACGCTGACTACAGAACTCGTCTGAAAGAGTATCAGTTCTTCAAACAATTTAGAAATACTGGTCTAAGTAAAATTGGGAAAACAAGGCTAGCAGAGTAAATTTTAGACATATTATAGAATGCCTCAAACAACAAGCTGAGAAATACAGTCTGTATGAACAACAAAAATGGGCTGCCTCAACATAGGGGCATTTGTTATTTTTAAAATGTCATTATATTGAGCTTCATGACAGGCATTCATACTGAATGCAGGGTGCTAAATGATGAATTAATAAGCTGTGCACATTTTTTACTGAAACATTCTTTTTACTTCATTTATGTTACAAGAAATGAGCAACTACGTAACAGGAGAAAGATACTATGAGAAAGAGCAGAATGTAATAATTACAGAAAGTAACTGTAGACAAGGCAGGATCAGCTGATCAAATCAGAGGCTGGCACAAAAAATACAGGCACTCCCACAACCTGGGTGTAACCTCAGGTTCTTTTCTTCTCCCTAAGCCTAATATTTGGAAACGCTGGTGGTGTAGTGGTTAAGAGCTATATAGGGCTACTAATCAAAAGGTTGACAGTTTGAATCCACCAGGCGTGCCCTGCAAACTCTATGCAGCAGTTCTACTCTGTTGTTATAAGTGAGAATCGACTCGACGGAAAAGGGTTTGGTTTTTGGTTTTAAGCATAATATTAACCCTCAAGGTCTATGTTGTTGGTGGTGTTATGTGCCATCAAGTCGATTCCGACTCATAGCAACCCTACAAGACAGAGTAGAACTGTCCCATAGGGTTTCCAAGAAGCAGCTGGTAGATTCAAACTGCTGACCTTTTGGTTAGCAAGTAGCCTGATCTCTTAATCACTTCGCCACCAGGGCTCCACAGGCAAGACAGGATCAGCTGGTCAAATCAGAGGCCGGCACAAAAAAATGCAGATACTCCCAAAGCTGCCTTTTTTTCCCCTTCATGTTTGTACATGAGAATTAAGTACCACAAAACAATATTTTAAAACAAAGACAATTCTGATTAAAACCTGGAAAGTCATAATAAATATTTTTTTAGCTACTTTATTTCCTAAAGGAAATGTAAATGTACTACTTCCTTCCTCACACATACTTAAAATAGATTTATGCCAGCCTTAATTAGAACAAATTACCTGCGGCTGGAACTGAGGAACAGCTGTCCCTTGCATTCCTTGTGATTGCTCATCCATTGTCTGAAGCAACAGGAACTTTAGAATTCTGCAAAAAATGTACAGGTGAAGGTTAAACAATGTAATCATCACCAATTCATGGTGCTCATCATATGCCTGATACTTGCATTGAAATATCAGAGATTTACCTGATGCTTCAAAATTTATTATGATATCCCACTTATTTCTGCCATTTGCTAAATCCAAGCTGTTTAGCTCAAATATTCACTGACTCAAGCATTTCCACTTTTCCGAAGTAGCATTATGTGCTTAAACATTCCACCTGTCTATTTCCCAAAGATGAAATTCTCTCTTCTCCATTATGCCTTACACAGGCATAGGTCAAAGAAAGTCCCTTTACCCTGCCCAATACAAGAAGATAATTGCCTTGGTAACCTTCCTATAATCATGTTCAATGTTTTACGTACTTAAAATGCACCTCATCTTCACATTTCAAAAATGTCAGTATTTTTATTTTGTTTCTCCAACTGTAATGCTTACTATCATTTTTAGGTTTACATCTAAAAGGCCAACCCTCATATGAGGGTGTTTACTGTTTTATGCATATTTTGCTTGTAATTATAAAACATTTATCTATTAATTCAGTAAACATATGCTGAAGATCAATTACATGCCAGGAACTGAATAATATGCACAGAATTCACATTTAAATGAGGCACAGCCCTTGATTTTCACAAGCCACTTTTGCACTGATTTTAATACAAACACCAAGCGTTTCTACTAGGTGAGACGGATCACTTCTGAGTGGCCTTTCTAGCCATGGTCTTATAATTCTTACCCAAGTGATTGGGCGGGACGGTGTGACAGAGTAATTATGCCCACCAAAAGGATTGGTCAGTCTTGCCATCTTGCTGGACTTGAAATGAGCCACCCCAGAGGTGGGAAAGAGAGAGGATCCCACCACCATCAAGGAAGAACAGCCAGGAGCAGAGAGTGTACCTTTTGGAACTGGCATCCCTGCTCTGAGAAGCTGAGAGACAGCGAGATGTAACACTGAAGGCAGTGAGAAGCGGAGGCAGTAGGATACTGCATGGTGGGCTTCCTGGCCCAGAGACAGAGAAAGCTGAGTGCCTTTGGGGAGAGGCTAGAGAGAGGTGTGCCTGTGAGCACAGCTGGGAAAAGGCTGTCCTGATGGAAGAACTGTATCCTGAGCGTTTGGGAGCCTGAATTGTAACTGTTACTTGCCTAATAAACCCCATAATCATGAATATTGTCTGTGAGTTCTGTGTGGCCACTGCAATGAATTACCAAACCCAGCATAGAAGCAGAAAGCGCCGCAGGAGAGACGGTTGGTGTCAGAATTGGTAAAGACGGTAGAGAGAGGAGGCATGTCTGACCTCCCCCTCGTAAGAATCAGCCTTGGGCTGTTGATCTTGATTCTCCTTCCCCCTTGTGAAGTCAGAGGAGGTTAGACCTTGTGCCCACACCATTTTTACATTCTAGGTTCTTTATAAGTGTTATTTTATAACTAAAATCTTGTGGGTCAATAAAAGCTGCCTCTTGTACTGTCACATATCTGGTTATATCGGCACTGATGAGTCCCCATCTTCACATTCATCAATATCTATAGACATGGAGGCAACAAAAAGTAGTAATATTTCTTCTTTCAAGCCCCTGAGGCATTATATTTAAAATAAACTTTATGTAGCAATTGCCAGGAGTCCCTGGGTGGTGCAACCTCTTAATAAGGAAAGGTTGGAGGTTCAAGTCTACCGAGAAGTGCCTTGGAAGAATGGTCTGGCAATCTACTTCCAAAAAGTCAGCCACTGAAACTCTACATAGCACAGTTCTACACCGACACACGTGAGGTCGCCATGAATCGCAATCAATCTGACGGCTACTGGTTAGAGACCAATTTGGGAAGAACTGACGTCTTACAATATTGGGTCTTCAAATTCATGAACACAGTAGCTCTCATTTATTAGTTTTTTTTCATTTCTTTCAGCAATGCTTTTCAGTGTACTAGTCTGTCACATCTTTTTTCAGATTTTTTCCTAAGTAATTTACATTTTTTGATACTATTATAAATGATATTTTAAGAAATTTCTATTTTGGATTGTTTTTTGTTAGTGTAGAGAAATAAAATTTATTTCTGTATAGTGATCTTCTGTAGATTCCAGTAGATTTTATACATACATTTTATTTCTTATTCTTGCCTTGCTGCAATGGCTCCAACTTCCAGTACAATAAACAAAGTGGTGAGAGCAGACATCCTGTTCTTGTTCCTCATCTTAAGGGGAAAGTATTCAGTTTTTTACCATTAAGTGTAATATTAGCTGTACATTTTCGTAGATGTCCTTTATAAGGTAGAGAAAGTCCCCTCTATTCTTACTTTGCTTCAAGCTTTTATAAATAACGGATGCTGGATTTCTGTCAAATGCTTTTTCTGTGTCTACTGAGATAATGATATGATTTTTTTCCTTTAGTTGGTTAAAATGTTGAATTACAATGATTCATTTTCAAATGTTAAACCAGCCTTGCATTCCTATGATAAACCCCACTTGGTCATGATGTATTATCTTTTTTATATGTGTATTATCAATTAGATTTTATATAGTGTTGGATTCAAGGAGGGGAGAAAGAAGAAGGGCAGAGAGAATCCTAGTAGTGAATTGAATTAACTTTTAGTGCAAAATCTAAATCATTAAAATCACCATTTTCCACAGACAGTTTCAAGAGACTCTCCATGAGAAAAGGGATATGATAAGTAAATAGCAACAAAATTTTCTTTGCATAATATCTAACACAGATCCATGTGTCATTAGATTCTTAATGCTATTACAGAATAGGAATACATAAATGTTTACATATTGATTTACTACCATAAATGAAGCAATAACACATTTTGATATATTAAATATGTATTCAGTCTTCTAGATGACAAATTCAATGTGGCAGGGACCCACCAGTGTCATTGCAGCAAGCATCCTCAGTTCTTAGGTCGGTGCTTGACACAAAATAGGTGGATTAATGAATATTTAATGAATGAATGTATGTCTGTCATAAAAACATGAAATACTGCTACAGTTTAGTAACTATAAAGTTAATTATGAGGAAAATTATCATCAAATTCAACAAATCTGGCAACCAATTTGCAGTCAAAACACAGGCTGCCCAGAGAAGGTACTGCCTGAGTTGGATTTTAAATAATGAATAGTAATCAACATGGTTTACATGAGCTAGGGAGGAGAGGCATTCTGGAAAGAGAACATAATATGTCAAAATACCCAAAAGCAAAGCACAGCATCTTGTAAGTAGCTTTAAATTAAAGTTGATAGGCAGTGAAGGGTGAGGAAGTTTGTAGCAGAACATCAGGCTTAAAAACATACACAGGTGTCAGATGATGAAAAAAACTTTTGTGATATTTACTTCGTCCAGGGAGCTAATGCCGGGTTTCAAGCAGCTGAGAAAGATAAGGTCACTATTTTTAAAAGACAATCTTTCTAGCAATGTGATAGGGGAAACAGGGTGGGGGTGGGGGGGAGAGATAACCACAAGCAAGAAGACCAGTTAAGCTACTGAACAGTCCAGCTAAGAGTTATAAGGACCCTCACCAATGTCCTCTTACTCGACCTCTATCTAACAGCTTTCAACACAACAGACTATCTCACTGTCCTAAATTTATCTGTGATCCCACATTCTCCTGGCTTTTCTCCTACATTATAGCTACTCTTTCTCGGGTTCCCTTTTTTATCTAACTTATATATGTTTAGAGTGTTCCAAGACTTGAATCTCAATTTCAATCTCTTGCTGTTTCTCCTTCCCTTCCCTGCCCCCTTCTCTCTTTTTAACCTACATTCTTTCTTCAAGTCATCCCACCAGGCCCCATGTCTTTACGTACCATCCTTAAGTGATTACTCCAAAATCTCTGTCTCCACCCCAGGCATCTGCCCTGAGCTCTGAGCTGTTATGCTCCTACATCCAACCACCTGACATCTCCACATGAACAGAAAATTCCATATCCCATCCTCCCACAAAACCTGCTCCTCCTTCAGTCTTCATTATCTCTTTACATGTATCATCATCTACTCAGTCTAGCCCCACAGTTATTTTGGGTCTCCAGACCACTTTATCTGAGGAGCCCAAACATCTTTTGTTTATATGCATTATCTATCAATATTTCCCATATTAGAAATTAAAACTGAGAAAATTTTAAGTACATATTAATTCATTTACAAAAAGCAATAAACCCATTATATGTTTTTATATAATATATTTTTATTAAAAATAACTACATTTTCCCAAAAAATTAGTAAGAAAAGGGACACTGTTTTACATTTTGCAAATTTCTTTAATGTCTGGCTTCATAAAAGCAGTTTCTGCATTAAATATGTTGAGATATGTTATTTTGGTTCAAGTAAATGAAGAAAATCTGGTCTTATACAAATATATACTTGGAAAAGAGAAGAGTATTTTAAAAGCATTTTCATATTTCTGTGGATATCCTTCTCTGATACTATACCAAACTTGATAGGTGGTAGGGTCTCAAAGTTAGCTGCAAACTGGAATCTCAAATCACATCAATGAACTTTTGTACTCTGTTACATTAAAAACAATAGTCTATTTTGCCCTTTGAAGAGATCTTGTACTCATTCATGATTTTTAACACCAGGTACTTGGTCATCCGGAAAATTCTGGTTCACTTAGTTACGCAGATCTTCCCCATGTTGATCATTTCATTAAACAATATTAGAAAATCACATTCATTAATATCACCATTGATGTCATTAGAAAAGTCTTTAAATAATGAAAATCTGTCATAGTCATAGAGATGAGTTTTTCAAAATTCTAATTTTCACTTCAAAACTCCGATTTTATGATTGGCAATGAATAATGTCAATTGTTTTCCTCAAAGTGATAGGCACTTCATTAATTTTCCTTAACTGTGGTCAGAATAACCATAATTTGTCTGTCAGCTGTTCTTTCAAGTAAAAACGGTATTCCATGAAAACAACCGCTATTCCATTCGCTATTCAAACAACTGCACAAATGGTTTCCTCGAGACCGTTATTTGCTGCAGTAGCGCTT